TGTGCTGCTGTCTGGCTGTGACGAACATGAGGTGGTCCCTCGAGGAGATGTTGAGGGCTGCTTGCGTTTCCGATATTTTCGGTATTTTGCCGTGCAGCCACTGGTCCCAGTCTCATGGGCGCCATGGCAGAGGAGGCACTTGGGGTGGCAGTCGTGGGCATCTAGACCTGCAGGTGCGGGGGTTCCACATTTGGCACACTGGGTTGGAGCGGCGTGAGGGCACTGAGGTGGTCGATGACCGATGGTACCGCACTTGGTGCATACAGGGACCGTTTTCTTATAGGCGCGGATATACGTCGCCACGCAGTGGTAGAAGAGGAAGCGGGGTAACTTCGTGCCCTCGAAAGTCACCACCGCCGCCGCGGAATCTCCGAGTTTGCGGACCGCAAGGATAGTACCTTGAGGCCAATACAGTTCAGACTTTATCTTTTCCGGGCTTTCAGCAGGGTTTACATTGATGACTCCCTTGCATGTATCCCCTGGTGCCTTGGCGTGGCCTCGAACGGGCAGCTGCTGATCCCCCACTTGCAGCTGGAAGTCCCCGAGGAGTCGCTGTGCCATAGGCAAAATGGTGGTGCTACAGACCAAGATGTTCTGTTCCCATATTGGCCACACTTGAATTTGCGTGGTAGTCCGGTCGCCGAGGTAGCTGCGGATGGCGTCGCCCGCGCGATCGGCCGGGACAAATGTGCGTAGCTCGCAGGGAACGCGAGGTTTCAGCACTACGATGTAGTCGTCGCGAGAGAGGCGAGGAGTTTGACGCGGACGCCACTTGCGTTGCTTCGCTGGCTGCGAGGACGGAGCAGAGGTAGGCACACCGCCGGAGGGATGGCGCGCCGGCGTTCCTTGCAAGGCTGGGGAATGGTGGCCCGCCGTGGCGTCTCGTTGTTGTTGAGACGCAGACTTTGATTTCGCTTGCTTGCGTTGCCACAGTTTCACCATGTCGTCGAGGTATTCATCTTCTGATGGCATAGTGTTTTCGGAGGATGAAAGCTCCATGGACAGCATTTGGCTTGAGGTAGGATCATAGCCCGTAACCACGTTAGCGGCCGCCATCGCCGGGCTGAGAGCCCTTAGCGAGGCGGCGTTGTAGCCGGGAGTGAAGGACGTCCCTCAAGTTGTCAAAACTGGACCCACCTGGACGAAGGTGTTGTCTAGGCGAAGCGGAGAACTTGGCGGTGACGATAAATCCAAGTTTCAGGGGTACCAAGGTGGATGTCCGCAGAAATAGCAGAAAATCTACGGAGGCGATGTGGAGTGCGTCCGTCACCATCGAGCGCTCGCAGCGTCCCCCCTCAGTCAGAGACGCACAGCGTTGCGGTCCGACGTTCGTCTTCGGCACAAACTCAGCATTGTTGCTTTTCCTGGGGAAGAAAGACGCCACGTGTCACATTCACGCGCTGGCCCCAGTGACAGCAGTGCTCGGTCGAGTAATTGCAACCACACACCACCCAATACATGAAAAAACGCAGGGCATTTTAGATGCGGAAGCATCTTATACTCGCGCCTTGTAGTGCGCCGTCCGCGCCGTCCGCACCGCTTCTCGAACATTCGACAGCTGACGCGCGCGCATGCGCCGTCGCGCCGTCGCCCACTCTTCCACCATCTGTGCATCCCTTCCTCCTCTACACACCGCGCGCGCTTCACTCCTCCACCATCTGTGCACCCTTCCTCCTCTACACACCGCGTTCGACATCTACAATTCTCCTGATTCTCCAGTGGACGCGCAAGTGGCGTCGCGCTTCGAGAACATTCAACAGCTGACAGTGCATGCGCCGTCGCGCTGTCTATCTATCTATCTATCTATCTATCTATCTATCATTATCTATCTATCATCATCTATCTATCTATCTATCTATCTATCTATCTATCTATCTATCTATCTATCTATCTATCTATCTATCTATCTATCTATCTATCTATCTATCTATCTATCTATCTATCTATCTATCTAGCTAATCTATCTATCTATCTATATCTATCTATCTATCTATCTATCTATCTATCTATCTATCTTATAAACCGGACTCTAGGTTGAGTGGGAATATAGGTCAATCGCCCAAGTTCAGGTTACCGAAAAAGAAAAAAAAGGAAAACAACCCAAAACTGCCGAACCACATTTATTTGCGAATCGGGCGCACCCCATCCCGATTGTCGGAGCTCCCCTGTACCACCATCGCAACTGTCGCATTGTCGCACCATCGCATTGTCGCACCAACTGTCGCACCATCGCATTGTCTTGCGTTTGAAAATGACGAAGGGCGGAAGCTTTTGACCATCTGCCGTGCATGCCAGCATGATGGTGAAGCGCGAGTGCTCGTTGCCAGTGGACGGCAGCTTCAGATCCTTGGCGCCCTGCTGCATGATCGTGGTCGACGAAGGCATGTCAAACCACACGGGGGTCTCATCGGCGTTGCCAACCTGCCCCATCATGTAGTCGTTCTGCTCCTGAAGCCGGTTTAGGAAGCGCTGAAAGTTCATGAGCTTGTCCTCGAGCTCCTCCGGCAACTTTTGACAGATGGATGTGCGCCGCTGGAGAGAAAATCCTTTGCGTCGCATGAATCGACGCACCCAAGAGTTCGGTGCACGAAACCCTTCTCTCGTGAGCCTAGCTTCCCGAGCGAGTTCCACGGCTTTCTTGCGAATGGTATCCACGGTCACTGGCAGCGAGCGCACACGAACTTCCAGCGCAAAGTCCGCTAGCTTATCCTCCAGCTGCGGATGAACGGCATTTCGTCCACGAAACGACATTTTTCGAGGATTACACATCTGCAGCTTCCCTTTCTGCGCCCTCCAATAGCGCACGCTTTTTTCTGATACACCAAAGCGGCGCTGAGCAGCCATATTGCCGTTCGCTTCTGCCAACTTAACAACATCTAGTTTAAACGCAACTGAGTACTGCCTCCTCGCACCGCTAGACATATTCAGTGAACGAAAAAAAAGGCCACTAAAAATGCAGCGCAATGTCAAGCGGAGCGAAAACTCGGAACAGATCGGAAGCAAATTACCAACACAAAGAAAACAAACTGCGATTGGACTTGGATGTGGATATGGCTGCGTCTGGCTTCACAAGCACATGCAAGCCATATGTTGCCAGACAGCGTCACACTTTTGCCTAGACACCGCTGTATAAGACGAGGGGCGACCTTAGCTTAATATTTTATTGAAAAAATCTCGACCTATATTCCGGTTTATACGGTATCTATCTATCTATCCGCCTACGCCTGAGTGCTCTCATGATTCTCTTATTATGTTGGGGTTGATAAAAGTTACTTTAGGAGGGCGAGAGGGTTTCACGTATATGTCTGGCTAGCTACATGACACGAATAATTGGAAAATTTTGTCGCTTAAGTTCTCAAACCCTTTCGTCCAGACATGTGTAGCACATAGCCGTGTGCCGCAGGCCACAGTATGCATGTATGCACCCCAGGTTAACGACAGTTTATATCTACCCCGCAGGAACGTTGCGATATGCTATCAAGGCGCTAGGGCTAAAGAGCTCGTTTCTGAGGAAATCCAGCGTTGGCATTGGTGTTTGTATGGGCATCGTTTGTTGTGAGCGAAAAATGATCATGTTGTCCGTGATCAATAAATCAAGAAAGATGGAAATAAAATAAAAATTTCCTGTTCTGAGTGAACTTCGAATCCTGTTTGTTTGCGTGCATAGTAATTAGGTGCTCTCCCGCACAGCCGCGCAAGAGCTTCGAAATGCAGTGAAAATAACGGTCATGCTTTAGAGACCCGCGCGTTCTGTGTACACAGGGTTCGTAGTACATGCAATATCACAATAATATTTTGCGGTGGAAACAAACATTGCCAGCAGGCGTCGGAACATGAGATTAACATAACGACTTTGATAGTTAAAGCTAGCCTCACATAAAAAAATGGACAATTGTTTCTGCGCGTATTCCTTCTAGACCACGTAGTGGGTGCGTAGTAAATTAAAAAAAAGTTAGCGCACGTACTCATGGTTTAAAGCATGCTACCCATTACACGGAATGCAGTTATAACGGTCATGCTTATAGACACAAGCCACTTTTAACTTCATCGATTATATTGCAGTAGTCTACAATGTAAACTTATCGAGTAGCTTCCAACAAAAGAAGCATGCACCAAGTGTTTGAAGTGCACACTAGGGGCAGAATATTATTATAGCGTTAAACTGTTAAAGCTGGAGATTGCGATGCTTTAGTTTTTAAAAGAATAACATTATTACGTTATTATGATTCTAGTATTTTGAATCTTATTATGAATACAATATCTGGGTAGCACGGCACCACTTCGTAAAGCGGTAATTTCTTTTGAGCGTGTTTGGCAACGCCACTCGGGTTAAACTACTACGTTAGTGTGGTCATACGTGTCCACTATGTGTAGACCACACTTTGTGACAATCCCGAGGGAGCAGTGCATTCATAAAGAATGCCGACAAGAATGGAAGCGTGATCTTCCTTGATGTAAAATTTTCATGTGCAAAGCTCACAGCGCCCAAACTCTGGCGAATGACATTGTCAGTTACATGCTAGGAACCGCAAGTCTACAGAGTCTCATCGGCGTAATAGTGAATTTTCACCAAAATAAATTGCGAAATAATCATCTGTTCAATATAATACATTGAGGCAGTAGAGTGCCTGGAGCAGCACTTTATACCGGCATCGTTCGAAAGATTTTTGACACCATATGCTGGAAGTAATATCCCTCTGAGTGTATTGAGGTCTATCACTACTTTTGGCTCCAACTGATCAGTAGAGTAAGGTAGATAATGAATTACCACGCAGTCACTACTTCAATATTTAAAAATGATGAAGATTTTATTCGACAATACGGTACCATGAACTGGAGACAGATTTGAAACATTGGGGGTATTTCTGTGATAGTTTGTTTTTTCAAAAGTGCTGATACTCGCCCTGTGTGGCTTTGAATCTCTTGAACACCTTACGCGGTGGACCTTCCCGAAAAATCTTTGTTCTCTCACGCTTCATCACGAGTATTTTTTCTTACAGGAATGCCATACCCACTGGTGCCCTATCAACTGTAGATGTCCGGGGTGGTTCGCAAGAAAGACAAGGACAACCACATGCTACATGCGATATTAGGTCCTTATTATTAAATCGTGACATTATCTTTTTAATGAACGTTTATTTCTTCACGATGTTTTATTAAAATTTATCATTTCAAACCTTAAATTTTGAAGGGTCTCTGCAAAACCTTTTCAGTTTAGACAAGAAACGCTGCTGATCGCTAATCGAAGCTCCTTAAACTAACAAGAAAAAGATTTTAGATCAGGGGGGTCCTGCAATTATGAATCATTCCTCTTTGACCTTTACCTTGCAACGGTCGTTAAGTTGTAACAGCGCGGGGCGAAGAAAATTGGAACCATAGATGCACAACTCACGCACCTTCAAATACTTAGAGAAAATGTACGCTCTGAATCATAACGCTTTGTCATATGACCACCCAACAAAACTCACTGTGAGATATTCATACTTGTGCCGTAGGCGATTTCTGTAATTAAGTGTGACTCTGATAATGTAACCGACACCCAGCCAGAAATTCAATGTTTGCCAATATTATCAATAATGGGAACCGTCTTTGTCATTTACCTAACTAACCTGACTCCATGCATCATAAACACGGAATGCAAAATTATGACTTTAGTAACATGCATGTCATACTTTCCTCTTTGGAGGTCTCACTAATGTTCGTCATACAGTCACATCATGCATAGCCAATGTCAAGCTAGCCAACCGGTCACAGCAGGCCAAATCTGGGGCAGCTGTATGATGCTGACAATGACATGCATGTCATAATTTTCATGTTAGACCATGTAATTACTCTCCACCATACAGTCCGCTCTCGCATTACCAATGTTGGTGAAAATCAAGCTGACCAACCCGTTCCGAGTCCACCATGAACGCGGCATAGAAATCACCCTGTACTTGAAATATATGCCAGGATTTTCGTGTTACCACCTGTCGTTCGTATTCATCAGCAAGATACACTTTGTTGGTAAAAAATGTGGCGTATGTCCATTTAATCAAACGGCTGTGACCACGCCGAGACACCATTAAGGCAAGCACGCAGACCTCTTTATGTGGCCAAGCCCACCCAAAACATGCAGCGGAAAGAAAAAAAAAACAAATGCGATAGATTTTTCTAGTTACCGTGACTTCAGCTCGAAAAAGCCTCCCTCCTTTCACCTCATTTTCTGATCGTTAGAAATGGGCATGGGGTTTTGCTGTGCTTGAGCACTCAACAGCTGGTCTAATAGACAGGGGATCCTATCACATACACACTCCAAGAAATGGAGATGGGCCGACTCGTTTGATCTCCACTTGAGCTGCGTGCGTCGCTCCGATGCATTTGCACATTAATACATACAGGTGGAAGAATATAAGATGCGCTGGGAAATCTTATCAATTCGGAATTTATACAGGACATGATGGGGATAGTGATGGTGACGGCAGAAACTCGTGGAAACTTCCCACATAAATGCTAGCGCGATTATGGTATTGTACGTAAAAAAAAATAGCGACCACAGCAGCCAGGATCGCTAGCTATATAATTAATCTCATGAGCTGGTTGCAGCACTGTGGAAGCTACGGTGTGTACGGTGGCGGTTGCCGGCCCACTATAAAATATTCCACTGATTGGGTGTACATATTTGTTGCTCCAATACTACAATAAGTGCATTCTTGCATGCTTCTATAATGTGAAAGCAACTACAACACCTTCACTGTGGGTATTTCGAGGACTTCAGAAATAGTATTGTAACTTCTTTTTTAAACTTTTTATCAAGGTCAAGATTTAAATAGTTACTTGCACAGTAACAGAGTAGGTTGAAAGTATGCCACAAATCTATTCATTGATTGTGTAGTCATTTATTAGAATTCTTGAAAAACCAATGAGATCTTTGGGAAACAGACTTTCGAGCATCTGGGAAACAAGCGCCGGTTCGTTTATTAGTCCTGTATCGCAATTTTTGCGCGCTATGCTATTATTCATGAAAAAAAGCACGAAGCTCTAAAAAACTATAGAGCATCTCCGCGAAGGGAGCCCTGATAAGATGCGAAGCAGTAGCAATGCGCACGGCGTTGACCTGGTTGAAACGAACGTCGATAAAGGTGTGCTCGAAGAACGGTTGAGCTCGGGAAGTTCCGGCGGGCGAGGAGGGGAATGGTATAACCGTGCGTGACGCTCATCGTCAGAACCTTTCCTTACGTCAACAACTCCTCGCAAGTGGCCCAGACCACGATGTAGGACCGTCTCACACCGAACTCGAGTCGAATCACTTCGGTCGCTGTCTCCAGCTCCTTGTGGTTGCGGGTGGAACCGACCTTGAACAAGTGGTTGTCGAACCACAGACGTCCGCACGCGCGGCAACTGTGGCCAAACCTACATTTGAGGAACTCTCGTCGGAAGCGGGCGTTGCTGGCAGCATCCTGGACAGCTCTCACCACACGCCACGCACGGACGCTATCGGCGTTGCGGTGGTGAGACGCCTCCGGATCAGCCGACAGCTGCTTCGGGGGTGGGCGCGCGGCACTTCCGAGACGTTGCCAACAACGTTGCCGATGACGGAAACGTCGAGGATTCGCCGGCGTTGACATTCCATTCTTAGCGCTTCCGCTCGGCTTCCTTGGCTCGCGTCTCGTCGGTGTTACCCAAGCGCCATCTCTATTCTCGAACACGATTGCGTGCTTCACTTTTACATTGTTGGTGTAGTTGGTGTGCCACTGCTGATTGTTGCGTTTGGCTTCCCTAGCTCGAGTGTCGTCGGTGATTCAAGCGTGAAGTCGCCTCTAGCGAACGCGATCAGTTCTGCTAAACCTCGAAACGTTGGCGAGGGCCGGGTGAGGCCAAATCGCTTCGGCGCATGTTTGGGCGGGAGAAGGTTTCCGACGTCCTCTCCGTCGCTGATAAACGAGGCGAAAGAGCGTTCACTCGATGTGTGCTGGAACATTGCAAGTGGTGGAGAAGGTGAAGCGAGAAAATGTGACACGCAGAGAGCGCGTGGCAGGCGAAAGACAGAATGACGTCACTGCGCACTGCGAGGTAAGGACTTCCTGGTCTTGAGTGCGTTGTCTTCTCCTTGGGCCGGTCACAGTTTAGCTACCAAATACGTACCAGCCAACAACTAAGAAGAAGCAAGAAGGTGGTCGTGCTAATCTTCGAGCCAAGTATATTTAAGGTATACTGGGAGAAAAACACCGAAAATATGCCATCAACAATTCACAAAATCAAGACAGAGCTTTCTCTTCATCATACAGTTGCTCTAAAGCTGATAGGGCCAGTAAGTACCTGACGCCCTGACGCTGCAGGTGCACGAAGGAGCGCCGCCATGTAACGTTGTATGTCATCAGACGAATTGGGAACAAGTACAGTAGGAAAAAAAGGAAACTGAAAAGTTATCTTACTTTTGACTTTTGGTTTACGTGAAAACCAAGCTCCGGAAAAGGAAAACACAGCACAAAAGTGTCACAGTCAGCACCTGAAAGTCGCCGCTTTCAGAATGGTGGAAGCACCGAGGAAACATGAAAAAAGCAATGAATTCTTCAGACGAAAAAAGACGGACACTTCTTTTAGAGTTCCAACACAGTTTCTAATATCTGTGATGAAGCATGCCGCACACAGAACTCGGACTGAGTGGCGCAATGTGTAGAGTCCGGCTGCATATTCCTCACGAACAACAGCTTGAGCAAGACTCTCGTTTTGCCAGCCATCGTGCTTCCACTGTCGTAGCCTTGGCCACGAAGATGCTGCATGTTAATACATATTTCTGCTAAGAAACTCATGAAGGTGTTAGCGAGGGCCCGGAAACTTTGGTCGTGAATTGGCAGAAAGCCTAACAACACTTCTTGTTGGTGTCCATATTAAGGTATCTTGCACAAAGACTAAGCTGCTCAATACCAGCAACATCCGTTGTTTCATCAGCAAGTTTGAAAAAGCGGCCTGCAGCGTTTTCTTTTAAGACGAGGATTTTCTTGATGATTGCGGCATTGCGGCAGAGATTGCTATAATCCGCTTTTACACATCCAGACCTAAATACGAGACATACTTTGAACAACTTTCCAAATCTCTCTCTCTCTTTTTTTTGGCTGATGTCGCCACAATTGGCCCGCGTTTGAAGCATTGTTCTGAAGTTACCTGTATTTGTAGATGAGGCTGTGCTTAGATTTATGTGACCACTGTTTCTTGGCCCACTTAAGGCCAAACCTCGCCTCCCGCAAAGCACAATAATAGGCTGGAACATTCTTTGGTTTTCTCAGAATTGATTGTCCTTTTCATGCGTGTTCCAGTTGGTCGATGGCACTTGGCACACATCTTAAGAAGATTTACGAAAATTGTCGGTTACCAGCTGAGAGTCACTGATAACTAGAGGTGTCATGTGTATCAAGACTTCAAGAGCGTGCTTTCATTTTTACATTGAGTTGGATACGGGGGCCCCTGCACACGCATGTTGGCCCTTTCCAACCTCAGTTCTGCTGAAAAACACATACCAGGCACAACGCACCCTCTTGAAGCACTGAGTAGCTAAGCTATCGGTGCATATATAGCCAAGCCCTTTAAAACCTTTGTTTTTCCTTTAAATCGTTCATAGATTTAAACATGTACACTGGCGGAATAACCCAAGAAGACGTTAGCAGTTGATGTTTTGCCTGATCACCCACTTTTAGTACATCTGTGTAGATTCCAATATCAAGCTTGCTTTTGCTGAAATTTTGATGATCTAAATATGAATAATAATGGCGTCATTTATCATTAGGTACGTAGTATGTCTGCCTTATTCTCAAAGCATATACAATAATAAGTAAACCAGTAAGTGAAGCATAGGTGGCAGTTCTCACCAGAGGAAACATTTGACATGGAAGGTACACGCGCCTTTTCTTTTGATGCCTCTGGCTGTGATGCCAGTGCCTTGTCTTCAGTCACACACGGAATGTATCTTGAAGAAGTATCTGTGTAAGCAGGAAGAAAAGTAAGCTTAGGATCCACTATAACTATATTCACTTTGAAGCAAGGTGGTTTCTAGTACTGTGGAAAAAACGTGTCTTTAACGATTTATATAGGAGGGACGGCTCTATGCCCTCCCAAAATAGAGTAGCAAGTACTCTAAATCATTAACTACTTTTTCTAAACACTATATGTACAGGGTGGTTTGTGGCCTACAGGATGGCGTTATGCT